TCGGCGGGTTGAGTTCATCTGCGACAATGAGTCAGTGGTGGCTGTACTTAAGTCTGGCTCTTCACGGGACCAACACTTGATGGGGTTGCTGCGTCATTTATCCTTGCTGGCCATACACCATTCATTCATGCTTACTACGTCTTCAGTTCGCGGCATGGCCAATCCTGTAGCTGATTCCCCCTCACGCTTTCAATTTCAGCATTTTTGTCGTCTGGCGCCTCAAGCCGACCCAACTCCCTGTGTGATTCCCGAGTCGCTTATGGCCGCACAGTAGACATCTTGGCCCAGAGGTGTCAGTTTCTGCTATCCCAACGACTCGCGCCTTCCACCCAGTGTGTTTACCTCTGCTCAACATCGCTATATTGACTTTTCACGCCGGGATGATCGCCTTAACAGCGATGGCTCCCGCCGATGAGGAGACTCGTGCGCTTTGCTTCACTCTTGGCCGACAACTTGACCCACGCAGTATGTTCCCCTCACATTGACCATGGCTTGTCGGATCCTTTCATCAACTGCCTTTGCATGCAACGTTTTTTCAGGGGAATAAAGCGAATTCAGGGTCCACTATTACCCCGTCACCTCCCTATCACCCTGGATAATCTGCGGGCAATTCAACGTGGACTGGACTTCGCCAGGAGAGACCATGTGATACTGTGGGCGGCATGCTGTTTGGATTTCTTCAGTTTCTTATGAGCTGCGAAGTTTACGGTGACTTCTGCATTTCAGCCTAGTATCCATATGACTGTTGATGACCTGCAGCTGACTCCCTGGTGAATCCTACCTGTCTTAAAGTTCATATCAAGTGCTCGAAGACTGATTCGTTTCGCACGGGCTGTGATATATATGTGGGGCGTGGTGAAGGCTCGGTGTGTCCCATCCGTGCCTTGGGCGACTTCTTGGGTCTGCGTGGCTCTTCTCAGGTCCTCTCTTCACTTTTAGTGACGATCGCTCTCTTACTCGGCAACGTTTGTCATCTACAGTTCAGTCTATCTTGCACTCAGCTGGTTATACTGGCTCCTATTCAGGTCATAGCGTCCGTATTGGGACAGCAACTACAGCTGCTGCCCGGGGAGTTCCGGATTATCTGATCCAGACCCTTGGCCGGTGGTCCGGTGGTTTGGGCCCTCGGGGTCTGGGGCTCGTGGCAGGGTTGCAGGTTGGTAGGCCCGTGGGTGTTTTTCCGCCTTGGGGTGTAATTGCGTTTGCAGCCCCCTGGCCCATGGGCACCCAACCTCCACTTGCAAAGCGGGCGTTAAATACTATTAAATCATATTTAAGGTAGTCAAGGACTAGGCGCTCTGGTATCTAGGGTTTTTGGCGTTCTTTGCTGGCGTGTTGGCCCTCTGTAGCGCTGTTGCGTGACTATGTTTGCGTTTGTAGCGTTTACCATTGTTCGTGAGCATGGGAGCAGATTCCTGTCCAGTGGTATGTTGCTGTGGCGCATGCGCAGGCCATGTGTCTAGGTTGTGTTTACATTGTAGGCGGCTCCCAGAACATGAATAGTACTCTCCCATCGGCCGAATCTACCCCTGGAAAGTCAGTTCCAACTCCCACCTCAACGGGAACAGTCCCGTCTCCGTCCACAACGGCAGCTACGTCTACTCCAAATACTACCAGTACATCTGCAAGTCCGTCGAAGGAAATTGTTCAGGTAACCCCCTTACTCTTACCGCTCTTGATCTTCGTTTATTCACTTAACTGGATTGGGACTATTCGGTTTCCGTGACTAAGCATTTCAGTGTTATTTTATTCGTTTTTCTCCTTGCTTTTCCTGTTTCCCCGATCGGAGCTCTCTGCTATGGTAAAAGACTTGCGTTCCCAGTTTAGTCAACTTCAGGGAACGGATCACCAAAGGCGTTATAACGACCTAAAGGCCGAACTGAAGCCATATTGCCTGGCCCTCGACTTTAACGGCAATTCAGCCGTGGCGAAGCTCCGTTCCCTTATAGACGAGGCCACACTGGCAAAGAGTGAAGACGGAGATAAGCTGGTTGCCATCCAGGAGAGGATCTCCTATTCTCAAAGAACAGGGAACTTCCTAGACGTCCGCTCTGCTCTATTTAACATCTTAGCTACGCCCGCCGAAATCGAGGCCGATAAAGTTGTGCGTCGTTTCGAGCAGAGATCCCGTTCCTCTCAGTACTTCAGGGGACCTGTCCGACCACACCCGTTTAGGCGTCCTCGCGTTGACCGTTCTGGATCCTGTTATGCCTTTGGGGATCAGGGACATCTCGCTAGAGATTGCCCTAGCAAACGAAAAATGTAATTCGAATGCTTGGTCTTGTTACATTATTTTAGAGTGATCAATAAAGTACATTTGTCAGATGACTTGCACCCATAGTTGTGGACTACTTTACTTTATTCCTTCCTGCTGGGACCCCGAAAGGAAGTCTGCCACATCCAGGTCGCCTCCGCGTTCTAACGGAGAGACCCTGTGCCGCTCTCCGAGCCGCCGGATGGGACAGACTTCCTCCCCTCGGGGCCTCTCGTTCACAACAGTAGACCTCATAGCTTTAACCTTTCCTTTCACAGTTCGACCATGTAATTCCTGCATGGGAGCTGAAAACCACGTTTAACCCCGTGGCTGCGACCCGCATTTACGAGCAACGCCGAGTTAAGCGGATACGCTGGCCCCAAGGAGAGGGAGGTCCTATTGTCCCATCTGTGCCCCCGCCATTTCAGATGATTGCCAAAGGTCTTCTCGACACACCCCTCGCTGATATGTGGGTTAGGGATTCCGGATCGTTTCTGGCAGGCGAACCCCATAAACATGTGTCCGGTTGGGAATATTTGACTCAAAATCACCCCCAACAGGACCTAATCATGTCCTGGATAAAAGAGGGGATCAATATTCATGAGTTTATTGTTCCATTTCATGGTACATATCGCCGAAGGGGCTATCACCGTAGCTTCCCTCCTGATGCAATTTTCCCCATTAATAAAGTCGTGTATACCCCATGCTCAAGTTATCTCCACCGAGATCGAAAAGAAGACCGCCATACCCTCGGGAGGGTAGGGGAAGTCCCGCCACCCCGAATAGTCATCCCACTTAGTATCGAGCCGTCCAAGCCACGCTTGGTTCTCGACCAGCAATATCTTAACTGCTTAATGAAACATTACCCCTTCAAACTGGACCAAGTTGTCAATTTCCCAAGATACCTCGGGAAAGAATCCTATCACACTAAACTAGATGACAAGTCCGCCTTCGATCATTTTCTTTTATCTGAGGATAGTCGAACCCTCGTGGGCGCCGAATGGGGTGGTTGGTGGTTAGTGTGGAACACGCTTTGCCGGGGATGGAAAGAGAGTCCTTACATCTATCAGACCCTCGGGTCCGTCGCCACCTCTTACATTCGAGAGATCGGTGTCCCTTCCTCACTGTATATTGATAATAGACATCTCGGCGAACTGTGGAGGCCCGTCCCCGGGGCGCGCTCTAGTTACCAAGCCACACTGGCAGGCGTAGTCCTTGCAATTGCAGTACTTACTGAGCTGGGATATTTCATTAATACCAAGAAGTCGGTTGCCTTACCTACCCAACGACTCGTTTTCTTGGGGCACTTGGTCAATACAGCTCGCGAAACCTTGTCTATGCCGGAGGACAAAAAACAAAAATTTGCAACCTTGCGCGATGCAATTTTGCTCGAGAGAACGGTCTCCCTAAATACCCTTCAACGGTTTCAAGGGAAATACATCTCTCTCAGTTTGATGGTTCACGCGGCGAAACTCTACACTCGTCAGATAGCGTGCACTATATCCCAGTTCAGTTCCTGTGCTAAGCCTATTCCGATGATCGGTGATCTCCGTCAGGAGGTAGAGCACTGGCGTTTTATTGATCATTGGGGAGGTTGTCTTCCGTGGCGGAAGGAAGAAAACAGCGTAGTAAAGGTAATTTTTTCTGACGCATCCCTCGCCCAATGGGGTGGCGTTTTGTCTACCCCCCTAGGAATCCGAACTGCAGGTGATTACTTTAACAGCGAGAAAACGTCCACGGACATCGCCGTTAGAGAGCTATGGCCTGCTTTACACAATCAGATCCATCCAAGCAGAGCTCCAGAACTGCAGAGTTGGCGCCCAAGTGGACAATAGCACCCTATACTACGCTTGGGAGGATCAAGGATGTCACAACCAAACTGTTAACGGGGTTGTCAAACTTCTACTTGAGGCAACTTTAGAGCTTAACATTTCACTTCACTTGGAACTGATACCCAGCGAGGAAAATCCGGACGACGCACCATCTCGCTGTACCTCGGACAACGATGTAATGCTAGTCCTCGCTTTTGGTCTCATCTCCAGAGCACCTATGGCGGTCCTAAGGGCCATACGATTGACCTCATGGCCCTAGACTCTAACAGTCAACTAGACAAGGAGTCCCACCCACTCCCACACTACACTCCCCGTTATACACCGTCTTCAATTGGTGTTAATTTTTTCGCACAAAATCCCGCCAGAGTCGTAATGGTGAAATCGAAAATAGATACATCTTGCCCCCCACCCACCTGGTAGGGCCTGTACTCAAGCATCTCCAAGACTATCACGCCGTTGCCACACTCGTGGCTCCTGAGATTAGACCACTCCCTTATTGGTGGCCATTCGTCCAACGGACCGCTAAGGAGCCGTCCCAGATTGCCCTGAAAGGAGATGACACCGCACTCTTATGGCCCTCGAAGGGCACTAGTGGCACAGGAAACTTTTTGGAATTCCCAAACTGGGAAAGTGTTGGGAATTTTTCCCAGTATTGGGAAATGTTTGGGAAAACATTTTCCTCTAATAGGAAATGATTGGTAAAAGTTTGGGTTTATTTTTCCCAATGTTGGGTTCACTTTGGGAAATGAAGAGAAGTTTTTTTTTAAGTACCAATGCTGGGAATCCAATGGGTTTTCTCCCCAGAATATGGGAAAATGATGGGACTATTTTTTCACAAGTTGGGAAATATTTCAACATGTTATTGCCAATTTTGGGAAATGCAAGGGACAAGAAATCCCCACCTTGGGAAAGGGTTGGTTAAAGTTAGGGTTACGTTTTCCCGATGCTGTGTTTAGTGTGGGAAAATATGCAATATAGATTCCAAGATCCCAACATTGGGAAACCAATGGGTTTATTTCCCAAAATATGGGAAAATAATGGGGCTATTTTTCCACAAGTTGGGAAATATTGCAACATGTTATTCCCAATTTTGGAAAATGAAAAGGACAAGAAATCCCCACCTTCGAAAAGGATTTGATTAAATCTAGATTTGTTATTCTCATGACTATTGGGTGGGAAAGAATACAATAATCTTGTGTTAGCATTACAATGTAAGGGTTAGTCCAATAATTATATTCTTTTATGGGAGATATTGAATAAATTCCAATCCAAAAACAGAAAAGGATTAAGAATAATATTTTTCAAACACATAATGCTTGGTAACTAGTAAATCTTCCCAAATGTTAAATTTAGTTTTGAAAGAAATGACAGATTGCTCTTGAAATATCAACACACATAGTGTACAAATAATGTTTAAAAAGTTTAATTTTCCAAACATCGTATCTGCCAAGTTTAGAACCAAACAGTTAAATGTCATTGGCTTATTTGAAAACCAGGAGTATGGTAATTCAGTGCATGCACTTGATAACATGTAAGTTTATAACCACATTAACATGTGACAGAAACATCAAATCAAATTAAAAGTTGGATACTACAACTGTACTGCTCCGGGCATTGTTGATACATTTCCTTATGAGCTTATACCAGAAAGTCAGCATTTTGCCTTAATTACAATATTCTATATTTTTTTAAGTTGCCTTCACCCATGTTGAAGTACTACTCAAGTGTCCTTCGGGAATTCCAATAATTGAATCCCAAGCCACAACATTCCTTGCTGACCTGCCATGTGATTCCCTCCCATATGTATTGTAATGAGTAAGTCTCCTACTCGGAATGAAAAAGAAGACATCTACTGTTCTGTTGACAAAATCTACACTTTGTACATGACCATGCCAAATGTCTCCACTGCACTCACCCTGAACAAGAATCATGTCCCCTCTTTCGGGATAAATAGGTACGATTAATTCACAAGGACAATTTTCATGATGACGCATGTTATCTACCACTGTTGGTAAATTGTTGTTGTATGGGTACAGAATAACTTTCCGAGAAATTTTGGTAACTTTAAACACTACGGACCTTGGATTTGGCTGGCTCTCAACGTTAACAAAGCCACTTCAATAGTGGGTGTCGACTACACCAGTCTCTGTAAGATGTAATGGATAAAAAAATCCATGACCTAATAAACTGTTCAAGTTATCATCAGTGTTGACAGAAAAAAATCCTTGCAGCTGGACTATATGTTCTTGTCCATTTGAGGACACTATGACATTGTCACCAAAAGTGAAAACAGTTCCATTAAAACCAATGTCTGGTTTAAAACATCTCTTCGAAACAAATGTGGCCTCTGGAACTTTCCAACTAGGTACACACAACAGTTCAGCTATCTTGTTTTGGTCACCCATAGTAAGAGGCTTAATGTTTGATACTGAACCGATGAGAAAAGCATCCCTTGGAGGAGGCTCCATTTCACACAGTGCCTTGGCTGTTTCACTTGAGCAAGCCATCCCCTACATGAAGAAACAAGAAAAAGACACACTGGATATCAAGAGCTTGTTACTCTCATGAACAGCAAATTATATCTGCACTATAAAAATAATAATAATAATAATAATAATAATAATAATAATAATAATAATAATAATAATAATAAAGATAATATAGAACAAGGGAAGGGGAAATTCAGAGTTTTATAATGTTATTTTACTCACAAAAATTTATGGGTTATGTGAATTTGTCAAGAGTTTCAAACTCACCAGTAAAACATCATGCTTTCCAGGGCTAGTTTGTTCTTTTTCCTCCACTGATTTTGAGTACTTTCTTATTGACTCTACATGGGCAAATGTAGCTTCGATGTTTTTTCCATTGTGAGACTTCTTTACATGCTCCTTAACAGCTGTATCATACCCTGCACACCAAACATTATCCGAGGCTGAGAAATTCATGATGTCTTCATGAATATGAAGTAAGTTGTGCATTGAGATGGTACACAATGCCAGCCCTTGTACTTCTTCCACTAATATATTTAACCGCCATGCCAATTTCTGGTGCCATTTAATCATGTTAGGAGTCCATCCATTCCTTCCATCATGAAAGTGCAGCTCTGTTAATCTTGCTATAAGGGAGACAATTTTATATTCCTTAACATTAGTAAGTTGGCTTTCCATAATGCATTATGCCATTGGAAATGAAAATTTCTGGAAACTTTCAGCTTTCCAATATCCAATACCTTTGCAATCTTTACCCAGTTGTTTTGGAAGTCTACCACCTTTAAATTCACCAGTCCATGGAAAGTTACCAATTTGTTTATCAAGCTCTGTTTTGTCAAGCATCTCCAACTCCAAAGCTCTAGACAACTGATTCTTGACCACATTCAGGGGAATTGTGTGAAAGACATCATAAACAAAATGATTCAAAATGTCAAATCCATAAAGGGGGTAAAGATACTTGTGAAAAAGGGACAGTCCGGTAAAGCCTTTTTCTGATGACATTCTTTTCCGAACAGTTGGTCTTGTTTCATTCTCAATATCAAAAATATTTTCAAGCTCTGATTCAATGACCCTCTCCCCCCAGGGGTGTCTAAAATGCAAGCGATTTTGTCCATAGTAATGGTGTGTATTTGAGCTATTCTGTAGATGTTGACCGACCAGTTTACATCTGCGACATGCACATTTACCCTGGTTAAGAAACTTCACTGTTTCGCATTGACGAGGATGATCAGCTGTCCACACCAGTAAAAGCAATCGAACTCTTTCCTCATTAGATGGTTTAAAACCTGGAATTGTGATTCCTTTAGGGTAGTTCACTTGTAACCTTCAATAAATCCCTCACACAGATCATTCATTAGAGGCTGCAAGAAAGGGTCCAATCCATTTGGTAGATTATGAACTTGGGAACAAGGCACAAGACCAACCAAGTAAACTTCCTCCACGTGATTTCTTTCAGCCTTCTTCATGTTAGCAACAGAAACTTCAAAGGATCCAGACCCCCTGTAGTTTGAACCAAATGGCTGCCAGCCATCAAAGTGCCCCACAAAAGCAAAGTTTAATGGGGAGCCTTTTGTCTTTCTAATACGGTGTTCAAATTGTTCAAAACAAACAGGACACTCAACAATTTTCACATTGCCATCCCCATCTTGATCTTTAGCTTGTGAGTTAATGAGATGGTTTGCAGGTATGGGAATGTCACAGTGTACACAACAGGTTGGTAAAGTCCATGTACTATCTGGGTTCTAAAACCACTCGAGCTCTGACCACCGCTTCCCATCCCAAAGCTCTTTCTTTAATTGGCAATCCTCGCCATTTGCTAGCCAGTGATCTTTCTCAATCCAATGTGCAAACATTTTTTACACATGTTTTTATTTCTGAACCAGTTCTTCACGTTACTCTTGAGACCTAACTACAAATACTTTATGTAACCTGCATTACCACAGTAAGGACATTTTCCTTGTTTGCTATCCACGATGCTGTATGTGCCATGGTAGACAGTTTTCTTTGTAGTTTTTCCATCTTTTGTGATTCCTTTTCCTCAAAACAGAAACAAACAAGGAATTCTTTAACATCTTCATATCCCTGCTCTTTTAAAAGCAACTTTACATCGTTCCAACTTTTTGGCCATAAGGTTGTCAAAACCTCGACATCCACATCCTCGTTTAGAGAAAGAAAGAACAGTTTCTTTCCGTACTCCAAAACATCCTCAAATGTTCTTACCGATGCCCCACTTTGATGCTTTATTCTAAGAGCATCCAGTACAGCTTTAACTACTATCTCTTTCAAAGGGTTTTTTTTCAACATCGATGTCATCAGCGTCCTCTTGTTCACCACTTTCAAGCGGTTCTACTAGCGGAGAATCAGGGTCTCCTAGAGTTCCGTTCTCTTCCCCACACAGCTTATCATATGTATCTTGTTCGAGCAGAATATCGTGAAAACGTCAGAGTCAACATCTGATTGGTAGGAACTGTTTTCGACCGCAAATTCATGTGTTTCTTTCCAATGTCGAAGCTCTGTTTTTCGGTCAGTTGCTCTGCCCTGGCATCCAAAGCAAGGACAGTGAACGTGTCTATACGGCTTTTCTTTACACTCACAGCTTGTAATGTCATCTCTTGACCAGGTAGAACTTACTCTTTCTGAACTACTAGTCATAATCGATGCAGTTATAATAATGCACCATTTTCAACACCCATGGTACGATGAAAGAAGAATCGCGGGTAAACAAATTCGGCGCCAAAAATACATGTTAGCCAATCACGAGGACGAAAACATATGATGCAATCCCGATCCTTCGTACGTTTTGGCCAGCAAACGATCTGGTCGAGCGAGGATTTCGGCGCCAAGAGATCGCGCCATGGTACTATCAGAAAGGTGGCAGAAAACTCGGTCTTTCGTAAAACTATTTGTACAAAATGGCCAATTCTGACAGTACAAGTACAGATGAATTTGAGAATCCAAAAGTAGACAACGCAGAGAAAGCGAAGAGCAAAGTACGAGAAATGTTCGGAGATGAAACGACCAAGGCCTTCGAAGGTATCTAAGCTTAACTTTTATTTACAGTGTAAGCTTATTAGTTGATGTTTGATGAAAGCTCAAGTCATATTATTGTGTATGACCTAGTCTTTTCAATTCAATGATTTGAAGTTCAGTTTTCTTCCTATCTGTTATTCCATCGTTCTGTTCGTCTTGTTATAAAATAACCTTTGGCGCCATTAATGCAAGCTTAACTTACTCTCAGACTCTGTTGAATACTAGACATTCCGCTTGTCTGGAAAAGGCCTCAGTATTAAGCTTATGTAGTATTATCTATTTATCTAACTTCTGCTCATTTTCTAAACTATAACTGCCCTATGTTTATAGCTGAAGAATTGTTCACAGGAAAAAATAACGGATTCCCATTTTTGGATATTTTAGGGTATTTAAAGAATACCCATAAAAATCCCAAATTTGGAAGAGTGAGACAAGTCCCAATCAGGGAACTTGGTTGGGAATTCCCTGGTTGGGACTTGTCTCACTTTGCCAAATTTAGGATTTTTATGGGTATTCTTTAAATACCCTAAAATATCCAAAAATGGGAATCCGTTATTTTTTCCTGTGGTTAAACGAAGAAGGAATTAAGGATTTGATGACAAGAGATGCGGATGCCCCAATCTTGGCAGGCTTGGCCTGATAGATGGAAAAGCTGTTCGCTTCAATGCCGAATTTGCAACACTCTTTCCTGAACAAACGATCGTCTCTGGAAGAAGGGCATCACCTGCAAATGTAAAACCTCGAATGGAGGATATAGCCTTCTTCTCCCCGGAACAAAAGAGCACCTACCTACTGAAGTAAGTTCGTTTGGATTGTTTCATTTTTTCAAAGGTATTTGAGTTAGGAAACATATAAAGTGTGAATAAAAGAACTGAACCGGAAAACAGCGAGTTTGGAAATATTACAAGACCGATTATACACAGTTTGTCCATAGTTTGCCATAGATCGTCCTGTAATTTCTCTTTACATAGTTTGTCGCTGTCAATATTATCTTACAGAGCTTACATATGGAACCAATTTGTGTGGTACGTACCAACAACTCGTCCACATTGTAAATAGATAAAAAGGTGAAAAAACTTCCCTTTGTTTTTAATGCAGACGGAAAAGGATTGGAATGTTAGCATCAACTCGATGGAAGGGAGTTGTACCAAAGTTCAATAATCCCGAGGCAAAAGCAGAGTTGGCAAGTTTTGCCTCTGAAATTGCCACCCAGTGTGGTATGCCAGAAGTAGGATTTAATGAAGACGGAATCATAAAACATGTGCAGGCCAACTTCAACGAACAACGAAGGTATAGGAGGAACAAATCTGATTCAAAGGTAACTTTCGTAGTAAATATTTTTCGCTTTTACACCTAAATTTCTTTCATGTCACACCTGGTATGCCATGGCACGATATGCAATACCCCGATAACCCGTTGGAGGACAGGTCATTCGAAATATTTTGAGGTGTGAGAGAAGGCTGAAATTTTGACCGTTAATCAATAAATTCTTTCCTTTTACATAGAGAAAATGTTTGAGTGATAAAGATCCCAAGCTTCCTGAACTACATGAAGATGTGCTAACTTCTGAGGTACTTACAGTGATTCTATAGGAGGAGTCATAGTTTATGTGGTGGGGGAGGGGTGCTATGGTGATAACTGATTTGTTTTTTTTGTGTCTGTGTAATGTTTTTCGGAAGCTATCCCCGGCCCTTGATGATATCATTTAATTTCTTCGGTGAAATGGCACATCATTGATTGATAATCTTTGGTTTCCCATTCTAGTCAGAGAGTGATAATAACGCATGCAAAAGAGTCAAGTCTGTTCAAAAGGTATGTGGCTTGGTTGACCTGACTCTTTCAGTGCTAATGTATATACCTAAACATGCACAGCATTATTTAATTGACTTTTGTCTCGCATTGACTTTTCATAATGTATGGTTGTTGGACAAAGTTGAAGCAATTAAATAGGCCTACAACATTATTTTGATCAAGTGGGGAGAGATTTATATAGTAATAAGAATGACTTGTATAATTCACTATTACAAAGTAAGATATCACACACTAAAACCTAATTCCGATTTATCACTACAGTTCTTTTTTGGCTATGTGTAATTTCTTCAGTGTTTTACATCCTACTGTAGGTATTATCTTTTATGCTTTGTGTGGTTTAAACCCTTTAAGATGTGTTTCACATGTACTTTTAGTTCACAGGTCAGTCTTGGAGGAGGTGACACTGAAATACAGTCACAAGAAAGTGACGATGACGGGACAGTGTCAACTGTTTCAGTTGATTCAACGGAGGACTCTGTGGAAGAGGCCATAAACAGCAATGGATGGTGTCCCCAAGTTAAAGCGTGCTGTTGAGCAAAGTACAGTTAGTTTGTCACTGAAGGGTTATCAGATGATTGTTAAATCAGTATTTCGTTAACAGCTCGATAGAGACAACATTGTCAAAGTGCTAAGAAGTAGATTTTCAGTGAAAGCAAATACCTTGACAACATTGACAGTATCACAGCTAACAGAGATCATTGCAAAGAAATTGTTGAACTATCAATTCTGTTCCATCAAGAAGGGGGCCAGCTCAAGTAACATGAAAATGCAGGACATTATTGTGCATAAAGAAATTTCTCTTTGATCAGTTGATGAACTTGTCAAATAACATATAGCTGCATGAACAGCACTGCCTTGTTCAGTATTAAAGTATGTTCATATTATATATATTTGATATGTAAATGTTGCTGTTAAGCATGAAAATGAATAAATTGTCATCTAAAATAAATTTTACTGTTAACCGTATTAATATTGATGATCCTTGATTTTGTGTTTTACAACTGGACCAACATTGTTAAAGGGTGCTTGATTGATGATAATGACATTCTGGACCAACAAAATCCCGTAGTTCAGGAAATATGTGGGCCAATGTTATCCCATTATTGAGGATTAACTGGGGCAATAAAAACCCATGCTTGGGGTATAACTGTTCTAATATAATCCCATACCTTGGGTTTCAGATGGCCCAATACTAACCCACTATTGGGGTTTAACTGAGACAATTGAATCACATTTTGGGGTTTTTGTGGGTTCATAAAATCCCATTAATGGGATAAATATGGGACGGGAAAACTCCATTCCTGGGTTAAAGTTGGTACACTAAAATCCCAATTTGCGGGTTTACTTGAACCCAACATTGGTTTTGGTAGCATTTTCCCAATTTGGGAAATTACAACCAAAACCCAAGAAAACCCCACAAATTTCCTGTTTTTTTTTTTCCTACTTTGGGAATCACCAAAAATTCCCTGTGTAATTCCTTTACCGTAAGAAAGCCTCTCCCGTGGAATCTGTGGGTGTTCCGCCTTGACTTTTCCTCAAGTCCCTGAGTAAGGTCTTTCGTTTATCTCATAGCACATCCCACTCCTCAACACAACATGGGAGCCCTGCGTCCGTATCGAATGTCAACAGTGTTTTGCCTGGAATACACTCTCTTACAGCTTCTGCCAGTCCTGCGGCACACCCCGTCGGTCCTCGCCTCCCCCCAACCTTCCTAGTCAGGTTCTTGATGTTAAAACGTTTGAATCCAGATGCCTAGGACTCGAACGTCGCCTGACATCATCGAAATATGAAAGGAAGAAGAGTAATCTGGAGATAGAACTTGTTCGTTTTCTGTCGAGACTACGCCCACCCAAGGACCTCTCAACTACCAGCCCGCGGGATATCGTTCACTTTCTTATATGGAAGGACAAGGATGCGAAAACTTAGGTACACCACGAAGGCTGCCCACATTTTGGCTCTTCCTCCAAGATCACGAAAGGATGCGACTGCCCCAAACAACTCGCCATTAAAACTGCTGATTCCCTTATCGGCCAGCTCCGAGCCATCCTTCGTGATCATCAAACTATGGTACACTCCCCGTTTGAAATGTCCCTCCCAAATCCTGCATCACATATGATCGTAAAACTGTATTTCAAAGCCCTCACCGAGGAACAGGTTCAAGCTCGAGTGCTCCCACAACAGGCCAAACCGTTCTTTGTCCATGATCTTATGATTCTTTGTTCAAAGATAGAGGGTAAAAGGCCCAGCTATAGACTCCACCCATGTCTTCATATATGCTAGAGACTTAGCATATTTTAAACTACATTTCTTCTCCCGAGAGAGGCCCTCAGATCTAAGTCATATTCTGACAGAGGAAATCATGCGTTTCCCTCAGGACAAAGGCTTGCTTTTCAATCACGTGTTCGGAAAAACTTTACGTTCGGGGGATTCGAATATCTTCGGAATGCAGAGACATCTTAACGTCACCTTAAGCCCTGTGAAAGGCATTGACGATTACATGGCGGTCTCTCATGCCCTGGGTATTTCCCTTACTAGTGGCTATTTGTTTCTTACCACACAGGGAAATGTCGTCACTTCCCATCCATTTCTTTCGGATGCAGCCGAAGCCCGTCTTAAAACATACCTTACTGATTTACCAATTGGCAAAAAACCTTGTATAGTTTCTGATGTGGAAGTGTCACAACTATGGCCCTCACTGGGAGTTCCCTGGAGGATATTATAGAACATGTGGGCTGGAAATCGCCTCGCATGGCTACGTACTACGTGCAGCTACTGAAAACCATGGGACCAGACGAAGTATCGGCCAAGATGAACTAGGCTACTCAGGATACAACGGAATACTATAATTCCATGAACGAGCTGTTGTTTTTTGAACCTGCTCACCGCTCCCCCACTGCCTAGTACTGATTAACGAACACACTCTCGTAATAACTCCCCGCCGCACCTTGTCTTCGACCTGATCTACACTTTGGTCCATTAATTAGTAAATTAGTATATCATTCCCCTATTAGTAGAGGGGTTGTTAACCCATCGGCTAGATATTTAGACACATTATTTAAGTTTATGTATTATGTATGTATGTATGTAGGAGTGGTTTTATGGTTTGGGCTTACAGGTTTGGCCTAGCTACTAATTAGGTCGGGGTTAGGGGTCGAAGAGTGCAAGTAAATCCCTACCGTGGTGTCCCCTTCCGGCTGGACAGATTTCAGCCCAATCTAATTATGAAGCATGAGTCGGGATATGGTACTGTCCTGACTCATGTGCACAGATAATTAGATATCCCTCAAGTGATACTTCACTCTCGCTAGTACACCCTAAAGGGTTAGGCCGCAGATCGGAGATCGCCCTCTGCCTGGGACACACGGCGGCCTTGGATGGCAGGTTAGCCCCTCCCACCCAATCCCGTATCCTCTACCCTCATTTCTACCATATCCCAACTCATGCCTCTGTCTGTCGTTAGATTTCAGCCGGATTTCAGCCCAAGCTAATAGCACATTTGCATGACGAAGTAACGAGCGCACTGCATGGTGGTATTTGTAGTCAAGAAGATAGAAAAATGACAGCTCGTAGTGGAGGCGGGTTCACTTGTTGTGTTCCAGGCTGTTTTACGAACAGTAAAAGAGACACGCATCTGTCGTTTTATGTTTTCCCAAAGGAAAAGAATTTGAGGCGTCGCTGGTTGCACTCAATATCGATCTTCTACACTGGCCTGACCTTTGGTCAGTTTGTGGCATTATTCAATTTCCTAAATGCCCATGGTATTTGTTATCGTCTAAATTACTGGGGCTCTGATTATGCTAAGCTACAATTACCTGATATAGAAAAGAAGGGACAAAAGCACTTCTTAGAGGCCGATGACGAGCTTTTTCTGACATTGTGTAGATTGAGGTTTAATATACCAGAGAAAGTACTGGCTGATAACTATAATATTAGTGTATCAGAGGTCTCGAGGATTTTTGCTACCTGGCTCGACTTACCTTTTTCAAGGTTAATTCAACCTCCTGTTTGGGCTACGAGAAGAACAGTTGAAGAAACAATGCCCGAAGTTTCTCGGCAGAAATACCCACTCACAAGGGTCGTCCTTGACTGTACTGAATTATTCATTGAAAAGCCCTCATGTTTCCGTGCACAATCTGAAACTTACTCTTTATATAAGTCCCACAATACAGCCAAGGGCCTTGTTGCAATAGCACCTAATGGTGCTTTAACCTTTGTGTCAGATTTGTATGGAGGTCATTGTAGTGACAGTTATTGTTGAGCATTGTGGCACTCTACAGCTTCTTGAAGAGGGTGAGCAGTAATGGCAGATCGTGGTTTTGAAATCCAAGACCTATTAGCCTCGACGAAAGTTTACCTTAATATTCCACCCTTCATGAGAAGTAAAGACCAGCTAAATCCTGATGAGGAAGATGAAATCAGGGAGATTGCATCAGTTCGCATACACGTGGGACGGGCTAATGAAAGAGTGAAAAACTTTAACATTCTTAAACAGATATTACCAAATTCTATGGCTGAAGATGTTGACAAAATTTGGAAAGTTTGCTGTTTACTGCCTAATTTCAAGGGGCCACTGATAGTATAGTCAAGTCCCCTTGAAATTAGCCAGTAAACAGCAAACTTTCCAAATTTTGTCAACATCTTCATCTTTTTCAAAATAACTTCTTGAATTTGTATGAAATACAAGGTACATAGTATTGGTTTACAGGATTTACCCAATAAGTGTTTGATAAAGTAGACATGTTGTGTGTAAAAGGGAAATAAGCACCAAATAGAAAAGATTTTGACATTTGTTTAAAAAATTCTCATTGGTAGCATAGGAAATGCATAAAAAAACGGTGTGGAGAATATACATACTGATGCCAGGGTTTAAGGGTTAATTGAAGAAATATGGTGTTTGTAATTTGACAGTAGTAGTAGAGGAAATATTAAAACTTAATGCAAATGTACAGTATGTGGTCCTTGGTCCGCGCAAGTCCCCGATGCCCTTGGTCCGCGTCTTTTCCGAAAGTGATAAAATATTTCGTCAAGAAAAAAAATACGTTGAATAATGAAAGATATCGCGATTTACTGATTAGCATTCTTTCATATGACGAAGTTTCAGCCTTCTTACTGCGGGTGAAGACGCGAAATTAAAGTTTGTTGACAGGTAGGTTAATTGTCTTTTTTTGTTTTAGCGACTCTTGAAAAATATCACCAAATTTCGCTTAGCGGTCCTTGGTCCGCGTCCTATGACTTTGGTTGAATAAAACTTTCCAAAGTAAAAAGCGACGGCCTTTGTTTTCGAAGAATGTTTTGAAAGTTGTCCCTATACATGTCTACAAGTTCTCTTTTTTAATACCTCGAGTACATACAGAGTTTTTAGTAATTATTTTCGACCGCGCTTAAAACCGCTCGTCGACGCTCGTGTGGGAGACTCGAGGAGACTGTTGTCTGAAGTCTTTGAAAGAAAAGCGGATTATTTTATGCTCACAGCATCTTCCGAAAGAAACTTTAGCTTAATTGCATCAAGAAAAGAAAAATATATCGTGTGGAAACTATAACATTTTTAAATTTTTATCGTGCTGCTTACCTGAGACGCGGACCAAGGACCATCGAAAACGGTCGCCTTTTTGCGAATTCCTAGCAAAATATTTATGTCTGGAACTTGAAACTTCAGGATTATCGACAGGAACATAAAAGCTATCTTCAACAGGTGAAAGTACTTAAACTATTACAGGTTTGTCAGAAGTGGCCAGTTGCCATCAAAACCATCACCGACTTAACTGTAGAGGCTGGTTATTCTGCTCGGTAGTTGTTTACAAGATGTGATGAACGGTTAAAAATTGCCACTTTTAAAAAATCACCTGTCAACGCAACGCTAAATGGGTGAATAAACGTAATATCAAGTTAACAAACCGATGGCTTGTCTCAGTGATTACATAAATATCTGCAGGCATTCAACTTAATCAACTCTTTGCATAGTTCTTAAACCTATAGACATTATTTCCTGGGGTGATTATTTTCAGTCATTTATAGAAAAAGATGTTTGGGTACATAGGGATTCCTCTCTTCACGCGTCCAGTTAGTCGCTCGGGAACCATAGCATAGAGATAAAAGTCAAGAAGCTTTATCTTGAGTGCTTCCCAGCATGTGGGATCAAAAAAAAAATATTTCAATATGTATTTTCTCACGATTCATGAAATAAGTGTACACAACAAAATCACACCATGGCTTTCTAGTGATCCCCATACCCCATGAACTTGTTTATAGTATGAATGTTTTTGTTTGAGTCTCAGTCCTGATTCGGTAATCTCCAAGCAGAAATTCTTGGTGTGTTTTGCAAGAACTTTAAGTAATGAAGTTTGTTTTGTATCCATTTGTTCCTTTAACTTTGATGGGAATAACTTGTATTTTGCGCCAAGGTTTCCAATTGGATGATATTTATTTCTTGGATCACTGACTTCACCATCAACACTGGCAGACAGCACAGGATTATCATTATCAATAACAAGGCCTTTATCTTTCACAGTGATACCCTCATGACCATTGTTTTCTTGATGTTGAATGTTTTACCTATGATGACTGGCTCCATTTCCAACTCCACTTGACACTGATATGGTATATTTGGCCTGCAGTTGTACTGAAGCATCCCTCACAAACCTATCAGGGAGTTGCTAGATTGCCCTCTTGTTTTTTCCTCAACAGTATTGATACCATCCTCAGGTATTTTGATGGTTTTCATGTACTCTTTACAAACTGCTATAAAGTTGTCATCAGTTAAATCCAAGTCATCTGGGTGGCACTGTGTGGGATTGGGTATGGTAAAGTTACTATTGCTTTGAAGATCAGGATCATCATTTAAAGTTTCCTCAGAAATCATAGCTTCATCAGTCTCAGTTTCTACAATCATGCTAGTTTCAGTCTGTCGTTCAGGTAAGTTAGAAATTGCTAGAAAATGGGAAATGATTAAGTCTGGTAAAAAGTTGATGTCTAGTGGCTCACACTGATTTTTCCCAAAACAATGTACTGGGGCTTTCTTGAAAAGACGATCTAATTCCCATTTAGAAGCTTCTATACCAGGTAGATAATCATGATCAACAAGAACAGTGTGTTTAGCAAACTTATCTTCTATTGTTTCACAGTTACAGGCTGACAATTGAGAATTACTGCATTTGACTCCATAGGCAAGTTTCATTCATTGTAGAGGTCCTTAATCTGCTTTCTTGTAACCTGTAGAGCAAAGGAGGGACATGATGAATATGCCTCTTTCTCGTTTTCCCTTTCAGTACTTTTTTCAGTCTTCTTTCTTTTGTCAGCATCATAATCATGCTTTATCATCAGTATATCTTTGAAAAGAACTGGAACGTTTCAGGTTCGTTGGGTTGGTTTATGCCACTGCTGAGGCCTTTCTGTGCAAGAAGTGTTTGGAGGAATCTGCCCAAGGCCACTTTCAGAGAAGTCAAGTATGGCATATAATAAGGCCCCAACATGTTTACAATATCCATTAGCGCCAGCTTTACAAGTGCATTGAGCAGAACAACTTCACCAGTTTTGTTTTGTCTAACTTTTGTTCTATACATCTTGTTTCTGGTCATAGAAGCCTTTACTCTTGCATCAAAAAAGCAGAAATCATCATGAGAGCTGTTAAATTTTACATCCAAGACATGAAAAGCCTTAAACAAAGCGTACCCTTCTCGTTTGCTTTTAAACGCCCCTCGTCTTTTTTCCTCGCTGTTTCTCCCTCCAGACAGATACGAAAATATAAAACAATGTTGAAACTCCAGTGCTTTTTCTAAGCTTAAGGTTCAGCCTTCTTTGGGCCACTCAACAACCTTGTCATCACGTTCATTACCAGTGCCTTCGAATTGTTTTTTTCCAATGCAGTGAATTCCCCTACCAGGATCAGTTACCTTCAAGTGTAGTCCACTGAAAATATAATCTTTAACCCTAAAAATTAAATATTGGCAAAAATAATGCAAAATAACCCAGCATGGATGCCAAAACACTGCACAAATGTCATGTTTACCTTTCAAGTAGTTGCACGCGAGTGCCAGAAACAATCGCCCCTCGGCACCTCAACCAACCTTTCAACTCATCGTTTTTTAACTGTTCAGGTTTCCGTCCCTTTAAAGATGCCCCAGGAACGTCGTCTTCCGTTAAAATAGTTGGTAAAGTTTTGTTCTTTGACCTATTAACATCTTTGAACGTCTCGTTTGCCGCCATTGTTTTTGAATCTCCCGAGAGTGTCCAGGGAGTTTGCCTACAAATACCAGCATGCAGTGCGCGCATAACGTCATCACGCAAATGTGCTATTATCAAGCATGAGTCGGGATATGGTACTGTCCCGGCGGTTTGTTCACTTTACTTCCACTGGGCTTCTGGCCTCGGGGTGACGAGTACTATAGTCGGGAGCTGGGGGCTCGTGGCTGGATTGCGGGTTGGTAGGCCTGTGGGTGCTCTTCCGCCTTGGGGTGTAATTGCGGTTGCAGCCTCCTGTCCCATGGGCGCCCAACCTCCACTTGCGACGCGGGCGTTAACCATTAATAAGCTTTCCTCCCTACATGTAATATATAGATTTACCCAGGGCTAAAAGCGAAGCTCCCGTTAATAGATTTATAATTCAAATCAAACAATAAACATTAATCAATTAAGTCCGCACAAGGTTATAGGCGACTTGATACTGGTAACACGTATGTTGTGGTACCATTGGTAGCAGAAACAGCAGAGGAGGAATTTAAAAAAACTGTCCACAGGAATGGCACTCTCCATGCAAAACAACTAGTGAGAGACACTGGCTTTCACGACAACATAGGTCGTACCATTAGAAATGCCGGTGAAAATTCAGTTGGTAGTAATGTACCGGTAGATACCGAAGCAAGCAGCAGTGATGAGGAGGACGTTGTTGAAGCCGTTATACCATGCAGACGGAGCAATGACCCCGTTGCTGTATCACATGAGAGACAGTCTGAAGTTGACGCACAACGGACACATGACGATGGTAACCACACGCAGAATCAAGTGGAGGTCCTTGAGGAGGATGCTCCTGATCCAGACCATGACGACGAACCACTAGCCGGTGGTTGTGCTGATAAGGAAAGTGCTGTCCCCGCAGTTCAAGCAAATCTTGCGCTTTCCAATGACGGTGTAGATCCTGAACTTTCTGCTGATGATGTAGACCCTGGACTTTCTATGGGTGCTGCAGATCATGAGCTTACCACCGACGGTGTAGGTCTTGAACTTTCTACTGATAGTGTAGATCCTGAGCTTTCTACTGGAGCTGTAGATCCAAAGAAGCCTGAGGTTTTACAGGCCAGTACCAGTGGACGCTCAGCAGCAGAGGTGACAGCAGCTAGTGATACCAACAACTCCCCTCCAGTCAGACATTAGGGAGCTTAAGCAACAGCGTTGTTGAGCGACGGACGTCAACCGGAAGTGGACTTTTTGTATCATTCGGGAGTGTTTTGGTTGAAACTCTCGGGTAAATCGTCTTTAAAAGAGAAAAGAAACTCAGCAATACAAATTTGTTAGCGTCAAGGCATATAAAAAGGGAGAAGGCCTCACTTCCGGTTGACGTGCGTCGCTCAAAAACGTCTTTGCTTAAGCTCCCTATTCTACCCGGGTGGGAGCTGGACAGCACTCTAATCCTCACCACCTGCCAAGACCTGCGATGAGGGAAAGCGTGGCAGTGACAGTGACATACCAACAAATACTGAACTGTGTAGCACAATCCAACCTGCTTATAATGCAGTTGCTAGCTAAGAATACTTGGAAATACAGTCGACTCCCGATAACTCGAACCTTCAAGGGAAATCGAAAAAAGGTTCGAGTTGTCGGAAGGTCGAAGAAAATAGCCGAGAGAAAGGTAAAAATCAGTTTTTACTGCACAGTGAACATTTTAATAACATTTAATTGTAAAAATGTCAACTGAAAATTGAAAGATACTTCTAGATTATAAATCAGAACTTAACGTAACAAAACATAGCCTCAATAGAGAATGCGTTTTACTGTTTTGTTTTCACGTTAGCCTGTGACAATCAACATCAGCCTCCAATAGTAAACTATACTCCTACAACACGTTAATAAGAAATCCAAAATCCAATCTTTCGGACGCCAGTAGAAGGCTTTTTTCCCGACTTTTTAAGGGCTCAAAACATGGTTCGAGTTATCGAGGGTAAAACTTTTTAGAAAATGACCTGAGGGGAAACGAAAATTGGTTCGAGTTTAGCGGGAGTTCGATACCATAAAAAGTATTTTAGAACAGTAGGTTATTTTTCTAGAACAATACTCAAGATGCCTCATAAGATAAGAAATCTAGACTTTCGTTAAATAGGTCCTCGTATATAATCAAGGGGAAGCATGTGAGAGTGCATGCTTCATACGACATTTTTCCCTACCTTTTAAGGCTGCACATGCGCATATATAGTCCTCCTTATTCATTTAGTGTTTTTGTCAAGGATATGTTTGAATTTTTATATCAGTAAACAATTTTTTGTAATCTTGCTAAATTTTTAGGTCTTTATTCAAACCTTTTTTGAAGACCCTTTTCCATCAACGATGAAGTTTGGACAATTGATGGTTTTTATCAAATCGCGTCATCAGATTTCAAAGTCAAAAATAGGCCTTCAAGAAACGGGTTTTACGAATTCGTTTTTTACACTAGGTTAGAAAATTAATAAAAGGAAATAAATCAACTTATCCGCTTGTAGATGGCGGCAGGTTTGAAATCCTGCGTTCCGCTTCAAAGAATGAACTTTCATTTCCTCCTACAGCATGTTTGAACTTCCTTCGTGTTCAGTCAGTGCTAGCACGGGCACACCAAAATAACCATTGCAGAGGTCTTTCTCCTTGAAAAATCGACTGCTCTATGGTACTTGATTTTCAGCAGTTTAACCATTTCAAGAACACAAAGATATGTTTACTGCTCCCGATGCCTTTCTCAAGTGAAAAGGAGGACAACCAAAAAAAGTGAACTCAGATGTTTTGTTGAAAATTTAACAGATCTGGGTCAAGTTGTATAACGCACTTTCAGTTTACAGGAAACCATAAAAAGTATTTTAGAACAGTAGGTTATTTTTCTAGAACAATATTCAAGATGCCTCATAAGATAAGAGGTACCATAAATAGGTCCTGTATATAATGGGAACTTTTATCAACCACGACATTTTTTCAATACCTTTTGCGCACAATATATATCCTCCTTATTCATTTAGTGTTTTATGTCAAGGATATGTTTGCATTAGCTACAGTAAACAATTTTATACTGCAAATTTGACATTCTTTCTAGCAAACCTTTTCATTTTAAATTTCCAGCAAGGATGAAGTTTGTGACAATGATGTCCCTAACGGAAATTGCCTCAAGTGTGGAGAAGAGATGATGACCACTCAAGTGACATTACATCAGAGTAACTGCAAAGTCCTTCGAGAGCACCATCCTGTTGGGGTCAGTAATACTGATCAGAGAGGAAATCATTCACTGCAGCCAGCCAGAAGCTCCTGCCAGTCTTCCACGGTAATGCTAGCCTGTGCCAGGCTCTCAGATAGTATGGTGGGGACTTATTAAACAAGCAAAGCGAAAATAAGACGCGGGCGACTTGGCAAAGGGGGCGGTGGCGGCGGGAAAAATGGGAGAGAGCGCTCAATCATTCAAAGTGCTGTAGGTTTTGTACAAAAAACCTGACTTATATCGGAGCAAAAGTTCCTCGAATTTCTTTGTACAATGTGGTCAAAAACAAGGCGTTATTGGCGTTTACAGGCACTGAGAGTTTAGTATTAGCTGACGTCGTTGAATCTCTAGGTCATAACCTACTCAGGAGCAATCAACTTTCACAGGTCAGCAGTTTGACCTGTGTGAGAACCTTAACGCGTTTATATGTCACTTTCACAAAGCTTGTAAGTGGGTTGAACGGCAGAATTTCTCCGAAAAGACTGTGCAGCAATTCGGCTACTGGAATTTCTCCAGTGTCAAAGCGAACGCGTGAGGATGGTGCACCACGAGCAACAAACTCTTGAAGATGCCTTGCGCTAGCAGAAGAAAACACAGGCTTACCGCAGGCACCATTGGTTGATAACATCAGTGAAAATTCAAATCCTTTGGCGGGCATTTCTTTTCTCGAGAATGCAATGGATTGTAGAAGAAATATATCTGCCACGGAAAGGGTACAACAGCCACCCACGATCACAGAGGTGAGATGTCCTGTTTCTTGAGAATCTTCTTAAACTAATATTTTTTAGCTCGATGGAGATTTGTAAGCTTTATAAAGCTTTTATTTTGCCACATTTTTACTACTGTTCTTCGGTTTGGCATTTCTGTGGTGCGCGCAATGCCGACAAAGTGGATAACCTAAATAAGCGCATTCTTAGGTTTATACTACAGGACTACAGCTATCCATACGACATTTTACTAAGCAAAGTTAACATGAAATCTCTTTTCATTAGACGCATCCAGAACTTCATGATCACATTATATAAGAGTCTGTTCTTTATGAATTATCCAGGTTATTTAAAAGATATGTTCACCTTACGGTCTTCATCCTACAATTTGCAAGGAAATCATATCCTGGCACTTCGCAACCCAAAAACAACGACTTACGGTGTTCACTCTTTTTCATACTTAGCTAGCAAAATATGGAACTCCCTCTCCCAGCCACTTACAAAACATTAAATTTTCTAGAATTCAAGCAGGAGATCCTCAGATATGAAGCTTTTCCACAGTAGATTTACAAGTTATATTCCCTTCTGCATGCATAATGTTGTATATAGTTTATAACTAATATTGGAATTGTAATATAGCATATTTTATTTTATTTTTAACCTATTTTCTCGAATACATTAGCTCTACAGCTACTCTGTAAATTTCGAGCATAAATAAAGTATATATATGTATGTATCGCGAAGGAGCACTGCCTTAATTTTTCATTTTACGAATACTTTATTTTACAGCATATAAGATTAATCCAAGAATAAAAGGCGATGTTGATTTCTTCATTTCTGAAATATAAGCTTATTTGACAACTCAAACCATTGTTGTGGTCTTTTAATTAGCCGATTACCTTTGGAGACAAACAAGTCTTTACTAGAATTCGAATGATGTAATTTTCCTAGTCAATGTGTTTGTGCTGTTCATGAAGAGACATCTAAATATTTCTCTCCCTGAGTGGACATGCTTGTTGGGTAACGTTTTGTTCATTTGGATTCTTCTCAATTTCAGAGTGAAATTTCCCTGAAGTAACTTGGGTTTTCCGTCATCCATATCGATTTGCTAGAGCTTTAACACCGGTACTGCATCATTTTTTCTTTATTGATTATAGGTTACCCTGTATCGGGAAAAATAACTGAGTATACTGTGGAGAAGAGCACCACAGGGAGTGTTGTGAAAAATGCTGCATGTGGTAACAACTCTGCTTTGGCAAAAGCAGTTCTAAAGGACCAGGAACTTAAAGACCTTATTCTGATGGAAATTACTAATGAAATCAAAAAGGAAATCAGGTTATATTCCAAGGACCCTGCATGCCTATTAAAGCTGAAAAGTCCAGCAGACATCAGAAGATTTTGAAATGAATCATTCTACCAGCAATTACTGGTTAAGTGCCCAGATTTGGCTGTTCTTCTTTCTCGTGTATCACAGCCTGGAAACTTGAAAGGAAATCTGCCAGACTTTAAGGAGGCCGAAATTACCAACCAGTTCCAAAATTCTGTTTGCATGGCAGCTTCCATTTGTTTACACCAGTACAACCAGCAGATGACTGCTGCTCACCATAGAATACGTTTGTTGTTATTGAATGGTGGGGCGAAGGCACTTACCCTGCAACGATGTGCTGGTCTTGGTATTTCAGTCTCACACTTATCTGCTATCAGAATGCAAACCAAGGCAGCAGCTCCAAATGTCTCAAAAGCTACTTGCTGGAAGGAAGACATTGTTTCAAAGACACTGCAACTCAATTTCGTGAAAGAGGTTGTCACAAAAAAGAAAACAGCACAGATCAACATGTCTCAAAACGAGGTTTCTAGTTATGAATGCTTTGCAGACAGTGTGCATGCAAGTAGCTGCAAATTACTAGAGAATGCTGGTAAAGAAGGGTGTCGTATCTATTCTCGAAATGTCATTGGAAAATCTTGAGAAGAGCATTGTGCACTTCGAGTAAGTGATCTTTTCATTATACAAATTTCCAACACTGACACGTACCAGCCTTCAACAGGTTAATAAAAATCATGGTTATGTTGTTCCAATGTTTGGAGTTGATTCCTTGTCCTTACATAATTTATATAGTTCAAGACAGCTGGCTGTTTCAAGATTCTTAGATAGTATCTCCTTGGTTGTATGTTACTGAAGCGACACACCGGCAACAGCAGGGTCCCAGAACAAGGATTTTGGCTTGCAGACGGACTTAACCAATAGTTGAGTTTTGCTTGTAACACAGGCTATCCTTACCCAACTGGAGTTAGTTATTTCATTTACTCGTACTTGCAGATAGTCGTCAGGCCTTGGACATGATTTTAATTGGCCTCTTTGACCATGAATTTTTTGTTTTTGATTATTAACTTGTTTTGCAGCTTATACCAGAAATTTAGTTGTAAGCGCAGAGTCATCAATATAAGTCATTGCATTGGACACACAGTTCAAGAACCGTGTCAAAGCTGACCGTAACCTTGATGATTCCCAGCCCCAAAAGCACCTCAAAGACCTGCAGATGATGCAGATCCTGCCAAGTATGGAAGAGCAAGATGCGATGCAATCCAGCATGGTAATGCTTGTTTTCCGGATCATTTGGAAGTACTTTGCAGCTTACAAAAAATTTAGCTATGCTGTCATACACCATTTGCCACACAAGTATTCAAATGAGATGAGGCAGAAATCTGAACAGCTATATGAAAATATAATAAAATGACAATAAAATTATTGAATTTATAATTGAGAATGATATTGATGTTATTATTTTTCTTGGAAAGGTTTAATATTGAAGGTGAATTTTAAATATTCTAAAATATTATTTCAGTGCCTTCTGGGGTTGGATTCAACGAACGAATTCATAAAAGTGTTTATTTTCACTCAATCATCGCAAGAAATGAATGAGTTCGTTGCTGCAGTATATGAGCTAGAGACCCAAGAAAGGAGTGGTTATTCTTGTCGTGAATGTGGGAGGACTTTCAGCACCCATCCCTCACGAGTAGAGTATCTCAACTACAGAATTATAAAAATATGCCAAAACAGAAAAATATGTGCTTTTCTTTAAGGTAATAGTAGAACAACATTCTCTGATTTGGCTGTTTTCAAGCATGTCAAGTCAGTAAATAAGTCATGAGTGAAACAAGAATTATGTGACTTCTTTTTTCTGATTTATACTTCTTAAAATGGTTATTTTTTGAACAGTATTACTTAAACAATGAATTTAGTTGTTATCAATATTACCACATGATTGCATATCAAAATATTGACATTGTCACATGTGAATCACATATAGGGCGCCCTGAGCACTCTGCTGTTGGCGACATAGGGTTTCAGAAAATCTTGAAGGAAATAAAACTAAAACCTAAGTTATTTCATCGTTACATTAAATGAACAATCCCAGTTGATGTAACATGCTTCTTTAAGTGTGGGTTTTTACCTTTCCTTTTTCTCAAGAATTGTTGTTAACCTGTATGATTGTAGTCATTAAAGAACCCAGCATGGAAAGGTACCAAACAGCACAGACGAAAGAGACGAGTTTGGTTACTATATCTGCCGTCACCTTTGTGGAAAGACATACAAGACCAAGCAGGGACGAAACAGGTATGTGTAACAAAAACGTTTAGTTCTAGATTAAATCCTTACGAAGAATTTCGGTGACATAATTGTTTTTTTTCATTTATGTACCTTTGACCTGCAAAGACCATAAACAAAGATTACATGTAATTTTCCTTTTGTTAACTGAAAGCGCTTATGATTTATAATTCTCATTAACAGCAAGAACATACATACATCTCAAAAACTGCATAATGTTGATGGTTGCAACAAAAAACACTAGAATAAACCAAATTTTTCTTTGCTACTTCCTTTATATCAACATTTATATCCTAACCAACTCTTTAGACTAAGGACAGCCGTTTGGTATATACTTGTTTAGGCACGAGGGAAAAAATCTAATTACCAACACCAACAGCTACAGATGGTGAACTTGATGCAAACCAACACAGCACATCAGAGGACTGTGTGCACAATTATCACTGTGCTAGACTGACATTTGGACTGCTGATGATGCTGTTTAGTGATGCAGTAAAGGAGGGAGATTCAGCAGCCCTGCTGAAATTTCTTAAAGTGGCTCTTCTTTTGTTGCATAGTTATAGTAAAGTATGCATATGTTGTCCTTTCGTTTCTTGCAAAAGTAAATGCTATTTTGAGTGAAAGGTGCATTTGAAGTGCTACAGAACCGTTGTTTCAACAGCTCAGGTAAAGCTGGTGGAAACATTCCTTTGGATCTTAGGATGGAACATTTGAACAAGCTCTTGAAAATAGCATTGAAACAATTTGCATCAAATGTAACGGAGGCTGCTGCCCAACAGATTGCCAAATCCTTATCCACTATAGAGGACATTTTGTTGATGGTAGATGTTGATTGTAATTTAAAACATCGTAGTGGATACCATAATTCAAAACATCTGGAGGAAATTGTGTTAACAATCACAAACGATTTACATGAAAAGAAAGCCTATAGTGTCCCTGTTTGTTTCTTTCTCGTCCGTCTTCTGGAAAGCAGTAAACTTCGCCGGAATCTACGCAGGTCCAGCGCAGCGGCAGGGCTAGTTCAACTTGCATTCCGCGTGGTGTTTTTAACGCATAAACTACACGTCTTGAAAACATGCCTCCGACTCGCCGAGCAAGGAACACTTCCACGCCGGCCGATCCCGGCCCTATACCTGTAGATCTCGAACTTGGCAGGCTATACGCAAAGGATTTGCTATCCCTGTACAGCAGGCTAAACCTCACAATGACCGGAGGACGTGATGCCCTGACTAACACAGACAACCTTCCTGGCACTCTGTCCCCTATCCAAGATGGCGGCGAGAACGTGGAAAATCAAAATGATCAAAATGCCCTCGAACTGCAATTTCAGCAGCTTCAGCGCCAAGTCCAGGAGCTACTGGACAGGGAGTCGCCACAAGATGGGCTTTTATCAGCCACCCAGCTCACCCAAGAACAATTGATTGTTCAAGGGTCACCAAACAAGGCGATTGAGAAAGCCGCATCAGCCGCCGCTCAAGCCGCACTTAGCGCCTTCAATGGCTCGTCTCCACCAGCTACCGCTCCACTGACTCAAGCAAGAGATTCCTCTGGGAATGATGCACTGCAAATATCTTTACCAGGGATAAGTGTAAGTCCAGAAAACTGTTCTACTGCAGACCCAGCAATGGATTCTGTGCACGAGCTGCCGGTCAAACTGGTCAAAGAAATCCTAACTGGAGAGTTCATGGAACTTTCTAAATTGCTTTTCAAGCACTTTAACGTCTTAAACCCGTCGCAGGATGAGTCACTCACCCTTACTTTAGAAAATTCAGTTATTAAAATAAACAAGGCCAAAGCTACATCCACAACTGACATAACAGAGTGGACGACGGCCTTTACTGTCTACATGGGAGTTCTTATCAGCAAGTTCCCACACCGTGCTTCAGAGCTACTAGAATATATGTCTCTCATGCGATACGCTGCTAGATACCTTAGGGGGTTAGGTTGGTGTGTATATGACATTAAGTTCCGGCAGAAGGCTGCCGCTAACAAGACATCGAAATGGTCAACCATTGATAGTCAATTATGGCTAAAAACCTTTACGGTTGCCCCTTCACTTCTAAAGGAGGACATTAGTGTTTTCCAGGTCAGGACCCTCATCATCAAGTACCTCTAGGGGGACCGAAAACCGTACTTGTCACAACTTCAACAGGGGGATTCCCTGCGCCAGAACCCCTTGCATCTACGCCCACAAATGTAACCGGCCTGGGTGCGGAAAGGATCATCCCAGGATCAAGTGCCCCAATTTCTATCGAACAGATAAGGAACCCTCCCCAAGGGTGGGAGGGTCAACCCCCCAGCACCAGAGCACCCGCCACCAAGAAAAGTAGCTTTGGTGGCGTGGTTACTCCTGTCAATGTAGTTAACTTGTACCAGGTCCTATCCATTCATCCTGAGAGGGAATTTGTTAACAAGCTATGTTCAGAGCTGAGGGAGGAGGCCAGGATTGGTTATTCTGGTCCTAGATACCCACGTTTTTCACATAACTCACCCACTGCATATTTAAACCTTGAGGTGGTTACAGGGAATTTAACTGATGAGGTTTCAAAAGGGCGTACCATGGGCCCTTTTCCCACACCCTCTTTAAAAATTTTCAGGTTTCACCGACTGGTCTTGTCCCCGAAAAAACATTCCCACAAATTCCGAACAATATTCCATTTATCCTTCCTAAAATCTGGGACCTCTAGCGTCAATTATTTTATTGAAAAGGATTATTTCTCTCTGCAATATATTACTATTGACAATGCCATTGCAGCAATTCAGAAATTTGGCCCAGGCTGCTACATGGGCAAAACAGACATTGAATCTGCTTTTCGGCTCATTCCGGTCCATCCGAATGACTGGGAACTATTGGGGATGTTTTGGAATGGGCAGTATTATTTTGACAAAGTGCTCCCATTTGGGCTTCGCTCTGCCCCGTACATTTTTAATCAGTTATCAGATGCCATTGAGTGGATTTTACTTAACAAATGTTCCATCTCCTTTGTTTGCCACATTTTGGATGATTTCTTTATAGTGGAGCCACCCTGTTATACCCCTCCATTAGATTCCCTCTGTCAGGCAAACCTCTCAAGTATGATCTTCACCTTCAAAAATTTGAATATCCCCATCTCCGCAGCCAAAACCGAGGGGCCTTCCCAAATTATTCAGTTCATGAGTATCATACTAGATTCTGGGAAAATGGAGGGAAGGCTACCCGAGGATAAGGTGGAGAGGATCAAATCTGCTCTCTCCACTTTCCAATCTCAGCGGTCAACGACACTGCAAGAACTTCAATCACTGATAGGTACTCTCAATTTTGCTTGCAAGGTAATCCCCCCAGGGCGACCGTTCCTACAACGAATAATTCACCTAACCAGGGGGGTTAAAAAACCCCACCATCATATAAAGCTTACCACAGGCTTTTACAAAGATATTGAAATAAGGAAGATGTTTATCGACCAGTGGAATGGAATAGGACTATTCCTTTCTCCTTTATGGGAAACCTCTGACACCCTCTCCACAAAGGTACACTCATACTTCACTTGGGTCTGTTTGCGTACAATTTAATTTTACTTAATAATGCTTTAATGAACAATGTAGATTCCAAAAGACTTGGATATTACTTGTCCGAACAAACTATAGAAATCTTAGAGAAGCTAAGTACTCACTTAGGTTTTTTTATGTGTGTTAACTATTCACATGAACATTCAATGGCAGATCACTTTGCCAGTCAAGTAATAGATACTTTGGATCATAGTTACCCAGTTATCCTTTTGAGTTATATTGTTACCTTTCTTAGCAAGTTCTGTTTAGGTTGGTCAAATAAACACGGGAATGGGGATGAAGTGCTCCTCTCGTCACACTCTTGCCCCCATGGACTCGATTTTCGGAGGCCAACTCCCTCCAATTATACCCCCTGGAGCTAGGTTAGTGGAGGCCCAACTCCCTCCTCTCTACCCAGGAATGTTCACGGTGGCCCTGAGAGAAGGCCAACTCCCTTCTCTTCATCCACTGTGTACATCCCCTTGGGCTGTAGGTTTTGTTTTCTTGACACTCCAGGGGTCCATTGGGCTAAAATATTAACCGAACACTTTGTCACCCACTTCCCCTTTTTTCAGCCACACAAGGTTGTTGTTGTCCTTATTTATTCCAAAGGAAAAACAAGGGAAGGTTGATTAACCAGTCATTTAGGGGCTTTAAGCGAAACCTTCTTAAGAAGTTGGATTACAGAGAATTTTACAGCTGGGCCTCAAAACATTTCAAAGTGTGGCAAGCAAAGTACTACTGAAGTGAAAACACAGTGTTTTTCCTGTCAGGCCAATCCCAGTGACACGTGTGTGTGCGCCTTCTGTAACTTTTTAAGGATCTAGAAGTCACAAAATGATAGAAATTGAAAGGCAAGTTCAAATTAATTTCGATGCCTTGTAGTCCCAAAGTTTCTTAATGCCAAAAAGATTGATGGTCACTACACCTGTGATCTGAGAGCTTAGTACAGGTTCGTGCTGTCTCAAAACCTGAAATTGTATCCCAATTTCACAGTAATATAGGTATACGTGTATGCCATATATTGTCGTAATTCTTTAAAGAACTTTCTTGAACTTTCACTTCCCATTTCCGAGAAAGAGAGGTACATTGTAAAAACAAGTGAAGCCTAAGATACATTGTATCAACTGATGGAACGTTTATGTAAACGGTTTATAGAGAACCATTGCTTGAATGAAGCACATTTTAGGTACAATATGAAATGCAACATCCATCAGTGTAAAATCCAGTGTACATCAGTGTACATCAACAACTGTCATTAAAATTACATTTATATTTACTTAATTGAAAAAATTGTCACCCATTTCATGTGGACACTACACCGCGTCTTGCGCTGAAGTTAACATAACTTACTTCACCGGGACAGTCTGGGTGCAAAGAAACTAGTGTCAGATAGCCTTAGCCTGAGAAAACAGACGACATTCAGCGACACCACCAAAGGTTTCCCCGCGAGAAATGCAAAATGTTGTCTGTTTTCTGGTGGATTTTGCTATCGGGCTAGTATTTACTGGTCTCGACTTGCCCAATGGGCAATAATTGAAGTTTTTGTGGGGAATTCTAATTATAGAAAAACCATAATCAATCCGGCTGATCAAAATTCTTCTTGGAACTAATAGTTGAAAAGACTTTTGGGCTAGTACATGCTAGCTGAGGGCTTGCAGAAAAGGCATCCTGAAAACCTGACTTTCTTTGCATCCTGGTACTATAATATGTTTAATGCAAATCAATGTGTTTCAACTGTCAACGTAAAAAACTGTGAACACCAGAAATCTGTGCATTATGTTATCAATCAGTAACGAGGAAGCCAGTCAAGTCTAAAAATATTGTTGTTGATCAACTTTGAATCTTGCCAGCAGGGGCAGGATATCGGATACACAATTACTGAGTGTCAAACTGTTCACAGTTTTGCATTCCAATAATAGTAGCAATCCAATGTGTCATTATTTAAATTCAAGTGTTAAATATGATAATAAATTATTAGCGTCACCTACTTTAAATCATTTAGAACTGAAGATCAAATTCAGGAAGTAAGAAGTCAAATTCATCACTGTCATCACTTAAATGTTCTGCACTTTCTACACAAGTAGCTATCTCCATTGCTTGAAGGTAATCCTCAGCCCGTGCAACTTCCTTATTTAATGTAGACAGCACTTCCATTTGTTGATAAAAACCAGGGATGTCTTCAAAAAGTTATTGAAATACTTCCAACACATCCATAACATGCTGTGTACAATAAATTGAAAAATTCTCCTGAAGATTGTCCAATGTAAAAATAGTAGAAGCATTTTCTACAATACCTTCCACCACTTGCTCAGAGAAACCATAACTGGCTGTTGGTTCAAAAAATGAAGTTCCCTAGGCTGACAATTTTGACGTTAATTCCAACAGGGCCAGTCTTAAGTCATTCTGATCCTCTGGGGTAAGAATCCTTGATTTTGCAGGAACAGTTGTTGTTTCCTCTTCGCTATCTCCTGTTGTCATGAACAATGCACTGTCTCCACAACATGTCCCATCTTCACAACATGCACACAGTTTTATCCAATTAGAACAGCACAAATGGCCTGGGGTAAGGGAAGAAACTAAATCATTAAAGTGACCGTACAAGGCTTGACGTTGGCATCCTTCTGCTTGAATGATAGACTTAATCTCCTTGCCACATCTCGAAAGTTGATGCTTAGTATAGTAGGTCACACAATGTGCTTGACTACCATTGCGACCACCTCTTCCAGCTTGTTGCATTAAATCAACAATGCTTTTTGGTGGCCCATACTGTACAACATACCGAACCCTTGGAAAGTTGATGCCCATACCAAGTGCACATGTTGCAATAACAATTCTCTTGATTCCATCCTTCTTAAAATCTTCCTCTATTCAGACTTTCTGAGATTCCCACGACTTTGCATGGTAGACCCCAAGGAGACAAGTTCCCTTTCCAGAGTCATCCTCTATGAAAGCCTTTTATTTCAACACAAGCAGCAGGTACCTTAAAACGGCCGAGATGTCATTGAACGTATTACAGAATACGATTGTTTGCGGAGTATCTTTACCATTCTTAATTAGGTCTAGATAGCAGCAACAATATAGATAGTCGTATAAACATAACAACTTTCTTTAATTTTCCAGACATGTTTCGATGGTACATCGGTACATTCTTAATTACCATTTCAGTAATCCACCTTAAATGAGAGACTGTTTCTTTTTCCTTAAGAACAGCCATAAAATTATAAGTTATGTTTTCTTTGTTTGGTGAAACATCAACAATCACAGGCTGAATTATCCCACATGCTTTGATCAGTTTACTGCGCTCATTAACTTGTACCGATGCTGTAAGTGCAAGAAGGGGAATTCCAAGAAGAAAGGATCTCATATCCTTAATGCGCCCAAAAGCTTCACGAAAGGGGTTCTGCTGTTTCTTCTTTTTACTTCCCTCAGAAAATCCCCTGTGAATACAGTATTAACATTACTCAAACATGAAAATTGTACGCACAAGGGTAGGCAAAGTAGGTATTAAGGAGAAAAAAATGTTTAAAAAAAATATATGTATAATTTCAAATTCGAACTGAGAACCATGTTTTATTGGACATTCCATACCGTACACAACATGCCCATGAGAAAATGTGCTTACTACCGCATGATTGTTTTGGAACAACTTCATTTAAAATTATACCCGGCTACAATGCTCTTTAAAGAACGAGGCATAAATACAATAGTTTGTTTTGTTATTCAATGAGATGTAAGTACGAGACATTTGAGACATTTTATGGCTCAAGCAAATTGTTTTCAGAAAGGTGGTTGAATTCGAATATTTACAATGAGGGCGCAATGCACAATTTGTTTTCAAATAGGTTGGTAAACAACAGGTTGAGTTCACATATTCACTTACCAAAGGTCTATAATTTATAACTCTTACGCTAATAATAATAATAATAATAATAATAATAATAATAATAATAATAAAGTCTTTATTCATCAAAAGATAAAAATACATATCTTTTGTTACAAGTAAGTGTAAGAAATTTTAAAAAGTTAAAAAGTAAGAATCAAAATATATATATATATATATATATATAGGAAGTCTGTGTTTCGATTTTTCCGTAGTAGAGTGCTTGATACGTTAAAGTAGAACGTGATATAAATATTGGAAGTAGGAAAAAAAGTACACTTTCATCCCGACAAGCCTGTTTCGTGATCTCTCACATATATATATATATATATATATATATCTGGTATATTACATAGCTAATTCATATTTAAAACCTAAACGATTAATAAAAGAGTTTGTAAAGCTCATAGTGTTAATCTTAGGTTTAAAACAAGATTCTTTCCTAAGATTGTAACTGGACGGTTTAAAATGAGGCATAATAGATCAAAGTGGAAGTCCTTTAGCATTAGAAAGTTTTCTGAAAATTTTACAGTCTTGCCTCTCTAAGAAATCATAAACACTTACAGGCTTAGACGTATATTTCCTTTTAAAACAGCGGTCAAATAAACATTGTACAGGTGTAAGATCGGACTTGGACGCAGCGTAGACAGATAATGCGTAATTAATATTAGGTAGAACTATTGTATTAAAGAGAAGGTCTATTTCTCACTGATTGTACCCCTCTTTGCGCAGCGTTCTAAGGATAAGTAGGGATTTGTTAGCTTTAATAAGTTTGTTCTTCATTACAGCTTCTTTACAGCTTGGTATCATCCCAATAGGTGAATAGAGATCGTGGTTGCCTCTCTTTTTGGTCGTCAACTCTTTACATTTGCTTGGGTTGCAAGACATTCCATTTGTATTCGTCCAATCTAAAAACTGTGACACTAATTGATCGGAGCACTCTACCTCCTTCCACACAGGAGCAATAATTATATGCCCGAAAGTACATTATACATTTTAAACACTAAACTTCAGATGCACTCGACCACTTAGTTGCATCTCGCTGAATAACAAAATGCCTTGTTCTTTAAACAAATGCCCCCGTATTCTGAAGTCGAACACAGAAAGAAATAGCTCATACTAACCATTCTGTGACTGAGCTCAGCAGACACGTTTTCTGCTCCTTCCTGAGCTCTCTTAAGTCGGGAAAATGTCGCAGGCACTCGTCCAAAACGCAAGACAACGCGGATTCATCAAGATTACACACGCAATTCGCGTTGGCCATCTTAGGGATGACAAACGGATGACCACGCTACTAGGTGATGTTAACTGTCACAATTGACCAATCAGAGGGTATATCCACAGGGTATGGCGCGGCAAATAGGACAAATCGAAGTGTGTGGCCTTTAAAGTGAATAGCAACACCTTTAAAGCGAAGACCAACACCTTTAAAGTGACGAGGTATTCCGTTAAAATGAATACCTACACCTTTAAAGTGAAGACCTACCCCTTTAAAGTAATGAGGCATTCCGTTAAAGTGAATACAAACACCTTTAAAGTGAAGACCTACACCTTTAAAGTGACGAGCTACATCTTGAAACTGAAGACCTACACTGCGTTGAAGTGAAGCTGAACGAAATGATCTCTAAAATGACAAGGAACATGTTCAAGTCAAAAAGTTTGAAGAGACGAGGTACACTTTTGAAGAGACGAGGTGCACAAGAGACGAGGGGCACATTTAAAGTGAGCATAGGCCTGCGGTTCAGAAAACAGCGGCTTCTCTTATCACGCATATCTCTCTGGTTCTCGTCCTCCTCCCACGTGTTAAACATGGCGGGAACACCGGTATGTCGAGATGCAAGAGAAACACTTCGAGAATGTGCCCAGAACATTCTAAACTGCATTTCTGGCTTGGAAACGGATATGTAAAATTATCTTAACATGAAGTAAGATGTATTTTTGTCAAAAGGTTATAGCAAAGGTCGATCGATTGTTATCCGTAGACTTTGTCGTTTGACAACAAAAAACAACACACACTTTGTTACTCATTTTAATAGAAGTTTATACAATGAATTTAAAACTTTATTTTGATAAGTTTATGGGGTTACCAGCTCCCTAAAATAACTAACGAGCTAAAAACATCAGGGAGCTGGTTTAAATAGTATAAATGAAATATTTACAGCGGATCGATTTAAGACAGTTATACATGCGTTTGAGTGTTTGTTGACCACTTCACTTGTACCCTAACTTCTACACTACCCAAAGAATTCTGCTGTTCCTGAATGGGCTAGGGGGTTTCCTTGATTCCTAATCAAACTCATATCAAGAATCTTTCCTTGTTTGTCTAGACTCGCAGCTGGCTACAGGTACAAACAGTGTCACAGCACATGCGACACAATCTGCAGGTGAATTTTTTAATACTTGATCACAAAAGCCTTGAACCAGCCAAATAAGTGCATTGACCCTTGCCACCCCTAAATTTCAGGTTACCTTGTTTCAACAAAATTACCATTTTAATGTTATTTGTTTACACTAAGCATACTATTTTTCTTGCTATTTTAGGTCAACAGCAGCACATGCCCCTCAACACCAACACTCGTACTACAGGTAAGCTTAAATTGAAAAACCTATCATGAGCAAGCTTACCTATGGTATAGTACGTTTTCTTATGTGAAAACAAAACAAACCGTAAGTCTTATTGTCTTGGCAAAAAGCACATTACATTGAATGAAACAATTTATTTCTTTAATGCTATTTTAGGTCAACAGCTGCTAAGGACTGCAGTAAATGCACCTGCTGCAGGTAAACATGATTAAATAATAAAACTACAAGAACTTGTTCACATTATTAATAAATAAGTAGCCACATTCAGGGGTTTCAATAACTTTAGTTATAAGCGGCCATTGAAGATGTAATAGGCGGCTGTGACCATTAAAGTGGCTGCAAGGCCCTTCATTAATGAAATCCAAATAGACGGCGGTAAGAAACCTTACAGGCGGCGGTAGACCGCTGGTAGCCAGCTTTTATTGAAACCCCTGCACATTAAGTGTTAATATGCTATTAATTACAAAAAAATAACTGACCACTCCACCAATGGGCCAACATAATGAAACACTGAAGTACATTGTAAATATTTGTAAATTAGCCAAGTTAATCCCAGCTGGCAAGAGGTCAAATCAGGTGGCTATAAAAGCCTGTGATGAATGATTTTCTTGAGAACTCTGTTGGGTTACTATTTCAACTGTTTCTTCTCAACAGTAACAATAATCTTGCAAAAGTATGCAAAGTAAACATAGTTATATATTTATTTACACCCCCTTTCACCCTGCCACCAGACACGCACTCTTGCATTAATACACTGACAATAATATTATTGCTTACTTGGTTTTACTATCCCATTTTACCACAGAAAATGCCAGAGCCGAGCTAGGGCGGCTATTTAATTTCACTCCTGCAGGAATTCAACGAAAAAGGAAATTACCTACAGGAATTAAGCTACCCAATACGTGGACTCATACATTTGTATGCTTAGGATAATGAAGTCCCAAGTACTGCCTACAAATCCCAGTTGTCAGGTGCATCACTTGGAGAGAAGAAGATAACATTTGAGAAGAAATCCTCGTGTGGCTACTTTCATGAAAAGCTGTTAGAAAGCTACCCAAAACTAAAGGAAGGAGGGGGTTACGAGCTGATGCGTACAAAGTTCAGATCAACCAGCAAATTGGAAATTTTGCAACCTAAAGGGAATGGTGGGCATAATGTGTTAGACCTTAAAGAAATGGTGTCATCAGCTAAAATCTATGTTCGACCCCTTCAAAAAGATTTAAGTCTTGAGCAAACAGGACAGCCATCATTGGTGAGTTCTCTACTCATTATGACCAGTTTTCTTCTTTACCACAATATTCTGACCAATGTACTTCTTTTGATACATTGACATTAAGCTTGGCAGTGAGGGTTAGAGTGTGTTTATGTCTTCTACTTTTACTAAATGCCTTTCTACCAAGATGGATGTTACTGTTAATTTGTTTACTTTTTTGTTATTGTTTATTACTGTTTTGAAAGGTCTTGAGCACATCTTGTTATAGTGGAAGAGCTTACATGTATGTGTCACTCTGCCATTTAGCTGCCTCCTCAGGCTTGCTCTGGGCTTGTCCCCAGTTTTCCCTGAAAAGCACTTTTTTTTCAATTTTTCACCAGAGCGAGTGTGAGTTACTTGTGACAAGGCATTTGGAACTAAAGTTGAATTGTTGTTTATTAGTAAACAGAACAGGCTAAGATACACTATGGTCATCTGTGTTTGTATTAGTCTTTTGACACTGGCCCATTGGAGATGTGTGTGAAGTGTGGAATCAAGATTCAGCTTTCAAGAATGAGGCAGCACATGCAAGATTGTGGTGGTGGATCAAGTTCAAGTGCAAGTACAAGTAGTGAAAATGACCCTGACATGTTGGATTTTAGTGGATCAAGTAAAGTAACCACTGTTGTGAATGATGACTCAAGTGATGAGGATAAAGACCCTGTGCCCATCAAGACAGGTACATAAAAAGAACAGTGAAATGCTACATAAAAGACAAGACCTGTGACACTAAAACCTACAACACTGGCTACATTATAAAAAGCAAACTGAGAAAATAAAGTGTGGAGTGCAGTGTGGCTAGTTTTGCACAACTCTTCTTACTAGGGAATTGTGTGCATTGGTGTTTGATGGTGAGCTGAAATTTCTGACAAGACATGACCTGTAAATCTCTTCTAATAAAGTGTAAATTATACACAGCTAGGTCTGTCCCTCCCCTGGAACAGAAAACCATCAGTGTGATGACTATGGTGCAGTGGGCTAACAATTATTTGTAGAAATTGTCTCTTTTTCTTTTCAATGTTTTCTTATGCATAAAATTTGATTTCTCTCACTGCACAAATATAAAAATGTTTTACATGTTGATCCTGGGGATGAAAACGAAAAGGTGCAATGCAAATGTTGCTTGGTTGTAATCATGCTTTAAATATCTTACATTTTAAGGATGGCAGGAAAAGAGTGCAATCAGTCCCACTGCCCTTGCAGATTTACAAGGAATGTTTCCTGTTAAATCAAGCTCTGACCTGCAGTCAGCTCTGGACATTGGTGGTAGTCTTGAAGAAGCAATAGATCTACTTTTGGAATCGGGTCAGTATTAGGAACCCACAACACCTTATTTTGTTGTGAATGTTTATAAAAATGTTTTTCCTTGAAGAGGATGAAATTTTAGTTGAATTTCTTATAAGCAGTCAAAAGCTTGCAACATTTCATCTCCTTTGTTTGTAAAATAATGGAGCTGTCAAATTGAGGCCTAGTAGCATTCAAACTTCACTGAATGTTTTTTTCCTGACATGCAGCTTCTTAAGTTGTTGCATAACATGCAACATAAATATTTCTCCTAGATTTATAATGGGTCTACTTGATTGTACAGGTATGCAATCAAAATTATATTTTACTGTTTGGGTCATTAATATTTTGTCATATGATTAATTGTAAGGTTCAAATGCTGGTGACAGGGATAGTAGCTCTACTGAAACTGGTAAGCCCAAACTTCAGGTACCTTCAACCTTGAGAGATTATTAGAATGATAGACGACATGCTTGGGTAATAGACTCGTAATATCACTGTTTTCTTTTCTTCCAAGTCAATATAGTCAATAGTATTCACATTTATGTCAATCAGAGAAGTTCCCTAAAAAAACACAACAACAATGACCAAAAATCAAGGAGGATAATTTATTGGAAAAAGGGCATTCATTGGAAGGATTGCCCAAAACGGAATCATTGCAGTGTGCAATGTTGATTCAATATACTATTGACAGTTATTGTACAATTTGTCTCTTTCGTAGGCAAGCCATCCATTACCACACATGCACCCACAGCTGCGGAAATTATGCAGTCCTACAGATGCCAGACAGAGCAAGGCACAGCATATATTGATGTTAACAGAATGCGGTTGTCTATGCTCCGCCAGATAATGACAATTTACAAGAACCCTCAATTTAACTTAAAGAAACGTGTGAATGTAAACTTCCACGGAGAGCAAGGTGCTGACTTGGGAGGCCCAACTAAAGAATTCTTTCACAGTGCCATTAGTTCCTTGAGTAAAGTTGATCCTGTATTCAATATGCAGTTGTTTGGTGGTCAAGAGGGACGTCTAATCCCCTTTTATGGAGTAGATGCTGTTTGTTCAGGGTGTTTTCAAGTAGCAGGGAAACTTGTGGCACATAGTTTGAAGCATGATGGCCCAGGATTGGTAGGCCTATCTCCTGCTGTAGTTAAATACCTTGACACTGGTTCCTTGGAGGAGGCTGCGACCCTTGTTACAATGGATGATCTAACCGATCTTGAGCTCAAGGGACTCTTGGAAGAAAAGGTTAGATAGGCTACAATAAAAGTTTTATTGTTACAATGCTTAAACTTATGAATCTTACTGTAACACTTGCCATGTATCAAGCAGCTTACAAAATGCAGATCAATATCAGTTTCTGGGCAACTGTGCACCTACCCCTCCCCTAACCCAACAGCAACACGAACTTATTAACTTATTATAACATGTTCTCACAAAACTTTCAAATTTCCATTGCCTCAGTTTCTAGAGACGTATCCATCACTTTCTCCTTTCTACTACCCGCCTATTACAATATTAAAATTGGAAAACATAGTGATTCCACCCAATTTTCTTTAAGACTGCCAATTATTACATACTGTACCTATTTCAAAACATATTAAGCCAATACTGTGTACTTGTGTTGTTACTAAACAGAATAAACATTGCTTCACCATGTCCTTTAGGTTTTAAAAGAACAGGCTATTCATCAGGTAGATGATGAAGCAAAAGATAAGGTTGAGGAGTTGCTGGTCCGACATGGACTAACAGATGCAGTACCACTGAGTGATGTTAACAAAGAGAAGGCTATCAAGGATCTCCTTGTTGCTGAAGTGTTGGTTACGAGAACAATTGCCCTTGACTCATTCTTCCGAGGTCTTAACACACTTGGACTGGGTGATTTGCTTCGCAAGCATCCCTCCATAACTAAATTTGTATTTCCCTCAATGGAAGAAGCTTCAGTTGACATGGACATACTGAAAAGCAAGTTACTTCAAGCACATCCCATCCATGAAATTGTTGGTGAAGCTCAAGCACAGGCTTGGGAATGGTTTCTTGAGTATGTCGACAACACTAGCTCAAATGTAGGTGAGTAATGTGCTTGCACTGTACTATTCCCATCTGAGGGTAAAATCATTCAGTTCTTTTGTTACATTTGGAGTTATGGTTTTGAGACTGAATTCTAATCACAAATGCAGACAGCTGCTAGATGCTAGAATGTGAACATGTGGAATGTCAAAATAAGTTTTTAGAAACATGGACAAGTATATCAAGTGACATGATTCCCATGGAAGCAGTGAAACCTCACCATGTCTGCCTTTACACATGTACTTGCCATATACATGTAAATAAGTAGTTTGCCTAAAAAAGTCCCTGGCAGTGTTTTGAACAGCTATATGGCATTTCTAAATAGAAAAACGAAATAGAAATGGTCCTCTAGTAATGCCATTGACATTAAGTGAAAAGAGTCATTTGTACGTAGCAATATTGATTGAAGTCAATATCCACCATATCCCAAAGTAAAAGGTTGGAGAGACATGGCAACAATTCAATATTAATTTTCTTATGCACTTTGTTTTGGGGGTTAACCTTGCAGATGAAAACACGGGATACCCACTAAGTAACTCACTGGTGATGTTCATTACTGGCAGAACAGTTCTTGACCCACAAGAGGATTTGGAAGTTGCATTTCAGACTGATAACAGAAGGACACTTCTTGAGGCAGACAGTTGTTTTCGTAAAGTGATACTACCAATCTCACATAGTTGCTATGAGGAGTTCAAGGCAGCATGCAATCTTTCGTTACTATCAGGAGCTGTAGGATATGGTAGATTCTGAAAATCTGATTCCTGTTGTCATATTCCTAAGCATTTTCAGTTGTGTTTTACTGAAGAGCATTATTCATACCTTAGGGGAACATGTTGCATTCAAAGTGAGGAGTACCACTGAATGTTCACTCCTTGCGTTGTTGTTTTTTTGAGTCCAAAAAAATATTGTTACCAGTTGAAACAAAAAGAAAATATGATTTCATGATTATAATAACAATTTTATTCACATTTCAAGTCCATCAAGAAGAGATGACACAGCTGGAAGTTTGATTCAGATCTCGGCTATTATACATGTATTTTTATACCTGATTGCCATGTAATAGAACATTTTCCTATTCTTGTTCAGCTATTGACCCAATGACTGTATTTCATTGGTGAAAAACCGTTGTGTTACAGATATTGACCATGGAGACAAAGATAAAGTTGATGTTGGGTCAAGTAATAAGTTTGTTTTCAATCCCAGGAGTTATCATAGCTGTTTATGCTCTTTCCTGTGCATTAAAAGTTAGATTGTTGTATCCTCTTTCTATGACTGCTTTCATTGCATGTTTACTTATTGAAGCAATTTTCAGTTAGCTTTAAGGTCAGCACACATGAGGGGACTGGTCCCAAAAATTCAAACTGGCTTGAATTCGTGGGACTAGTTGCAGGGACCAAAGATGGTCACTGCGACTAGATTTTCAAGCAAAAATGGCCAGTTCAGACAATGGAACTTGTCCCCGCGACTTGTTGCAGGGACTAGTCGCAGGGACTAGTCCCCTCGTGTGTGCTGACCTTAACTATTTAAATTATGCATAACATATACTATGCACAGGATATCTTTTTACTAAGCAATCAGCACCTCTGGTGATAAATTCACATTTTAAGACCAGTTTACTCAATTTAGTGATACCTTCTTTATTGGGTAAGTTTACACCCAGTGGGAGTATTGCATACAGTTCTTGTATTAAGTCAGTGAGTGCAGAAAGTTACGTGCCTGAATATATAAATCAATGCCATAACAATCGCTGTCACTAAGTGGATCAACCAATAAACTTAGTTGTTGCTGTTGCTCTTCCCTAACGTTGACTTCAATGTTTGGAATTTCCACTAGCTCAAAGTCATCAGAGGGAGAAGACTCATTGGTCATTGGGAATGGGTCCATCCCAGTCGATGCCATATGAGGAGACTTCTTCCTGTTGAATAATAATTCAAATAATATAAAAACATCTCTAAAAATACTGTTTTCATCATAAATTTGGGATCTTCATATTTCAAGTTTATGAAGAGTCTGTACTTGTTAAATACATAGACAACATTCTTTGTTACATGTACTTGCCTCATCTAGTTGACAAAACATTTCCTTGGCTACTTCCAAACCAGAACCACGTAATTGTAGCATTCCACTGACAAACTGCTGGAGAGGAGAAAGGCTTCCTGCAGTTCTCATGCTATGATTGTTCCAACCTCCTTTCCAGATGTCCAGGTGACGGTTAACACGGGGTAAAAATACTGTGTGAAGAGCAAGCAGATCAACCTCATTTAGTGGGTCAAGAACACCTTTTTCCTCAAGATGATAAAATAGTGTTTGATACAAACACAAGACACCACTAAAAACATCCCTCCACAGCCTCTCGATTCTTTGGTTGTGGGTGCTACTGCCAGCTATCACACTCCCAGTTCCCCTCAAAGGATGTTGCAGCATGTACAAAGCAGCTGCTGTGTTCTCACCACCTTTATCAGTCCGCAATCGAGATGGCAAGCCAAACTCAGTAACTGCTTTCATAAACAACTGTAGCACTGTTTCAGCACGATTGTTATTTGAACAATGAAGAAAGACAACCAAACGAGAGTATCCATCAACTGCATCATGCAGAACCATTCGCCACCTATGAAAATGGATAATAAATTATAATGTAATTTTTTTTCACACAAGTCTTTGATCCGCCATAACAAGGTGAGGGAAGCGAACTTTCACTATGGACTGCTTCCCCTAACCCTGTTGGTGTTCTAGTCTAAATTCTCTTGTATGTGCAGCAACTTCACAAAATCTTACCAAGTTTTGTTTGAAAAATGCACGAGGTCAGTGGGTTTTCTATGGGGTATGCAAACTTGGCTACCTGTATGATATTTCTCCGCATTTTGTTTGTTTGGAAAATAGTCACCTCCTGATACAAACAACGGAGCAAGTTTGGGATAACTTGGAAAATATTCCCATCAAGACTCCTATTTTCTCTCACTTTCTCTGGTATTTGCATCAGGGTCGGTCAGTAAAAAGCATGAACAGAACAGTTGCCTTTGATTATAAACCTTGGCAATGCCTCGGAGAAAAACTGCATTTTAGGTCATATAATGTACTGCACATTCACCTGATCAGCTTATGGTTCCCATCCATATGCCATAGCTCTAAAGGCCCCCGGACACTGTATTGTCGCCTTTCAATTGTGGCAAACCATCTTAGGGAGGTACCCAAAGGATCACATCGTTGAACGCTGTCTCTTAATTCATGTTCCCGCACAAAAACACCATGGGATTTTAGAATTGCAAGAACCTGTCGATATCCAGCTCGAGGAAATTGCTCTTTAATTTGTCACCATACGATCCAGTTCTTCTTCTGAAAGGTCAGAATAGTTATTGCTTGACAAGCCGTACTCTGCCATTCGACGCTGAATGGTACGCGCAGACATACCCAGCATTTCTGACAACTGGGTCTTGTTGAATCCCAAAGACAACAGGAATTCTAACTGATCCCTACTAAGGAAGTATTTAGGTCTCCCTAGGGGTTTTTCTCGATACAGGTGCATGTTCGAACCCGGTGCAGGAATTAAATCTTCAGGCATTCCGCTGTCTCGAAGGCCGCTAAGAGCATCTTGCAAAATCCTCACGGAATGTGCTGTTACAAAACCACTTTCGCTTAATCGAAGATGACGATGAAAATGTTCCAGGCAGTTTATGAAATACTGTATATCATCAGATGTGACAACCGCCCTGTTAGCTACTTCGTTTACAGCAGCATACAGCTGAGTCAATTCGTTCGTTAATCTCTGAGAAACGACTTCCGCCATATTGGATATTTGAGATCCGCTCATGTCCTTGACTCATGCCCATTATGGGTAGCCGCTGTTTTCTGAACCGCAGGCCTATGCTCAATTTAAAGGTGCACCTCGTCTCTTCAAAGGTGTACCTCGTCAATTTAAAGCAAAACTTTTTGACTTGAACATGTTCCTTGTCATTTTAGAGATCATTTCGTTCGGCTTCACTTCAACACAGTGTAGGTCTTCAGTTTCAAGAAGTACCTCGTCACTTTAAAGGTGTAGGTCTTCACTTTAAAGGTGTTTGTATTCACTTTAACGGAATGCCTCATCACTTTAAAGGGGTAGGTCTTCACTTTAAAGGTGTAGGTATTCATTTTAACGGAATACCTCGTCACTTTAAGGGTGTTGGTCTTCGCTTTAAAGCTGTTGCTATTCACTTTAAAGGCCACACACTTCGATTTGTCCTATTTGCCGCGCCATAACAGGGGGCCCACACAATCTGTTTGTGTAGCCGATTGTTATTTTATAGTAAATGTACTGGATTTACCGTTTGCTTCACCTATATCGATATATCGCTAACTATGTATATAAATCAATGATAAATAAACGTTGAATTACCTTGCCTGTGGTGTATAGTCGTCCTTGTTTGAAAGGGTTCCTGCCCCGGAGCAATTTTTCCCCCCAAAATCGCATCGCTCCGCTTTCAAACTTCGCAGCATTAAGGTCAAAAGATTCACGATTCTTCTCGTACCTTCCAATCGAAAATCCATCCAAACGGCCCGGAGCTAGCCCTCGAAGAAAATCAAAATCCCACAGTATTCGAGCGACTGGAATGCGTAGCAAGATTCATGCGTGCCAGCCAGAAACCGTCCCGCTGATTGCCTCTCAAAATCCCACAGAAACCGTCCCGCTGATTGCCAGAAACCGTCCCGCTGATTGCCTCTTTTTGATTGGATGTCGTTAAACAACAAACGCTTACCAAGTCTTCTTCATCAGTTATTATTTAACCATCTGTTTAACGACATCCAATAAAAAAAGGCAATCAGCAGGACGGTTTGTGGCTGGCACGCATGAATCTTGCTACGCATTCCAGTCGCTCGAATACTGTGGGATTTTGATTTTCTTGGAGGGCTAGCTACGGGCCGTTTGGATGGATTTTCGATTGGAAGGTACGAGAAGAATCGTGAATATTTTGACCTTTATGCTGCGAAGTTTGAAAGCGGAGCGATGCGATTTTGGGGGGGGAAATCGCTCCGGCGCTGGAACCCTTTCAAAACAAGGGTTCCTCCCTTGTCCTTCTATTATGTGGAACAGTCAACGGCGAACTCAAATTCATTCAAAATTGCTCAAAAAACCGCTTTTGAGGCAAAAGGACGACTATACACCACAGGCAAGGTAATTCAACGTTTATTTATCATTGATTTATATACATAGTTAGCGATATATCGCTATAGGTGAAGCAAACGGTAAATCCAGTACATTTACTATAAAATAACAATCGGCTGCACAAACAGATTGTGTGGGCCCCCTGTGGTATATCAGGAGCTGATATACCGGAACAAACCGCAACAGGCCGTTAAAAAAATGCGTACAGGCTCCGCCGCTCTGTCTCTCCCCAGCCCCCGCGCGTTTTCTTATTTTTGAACGACTTTTCGCTTTCACCACTATCTCGGAGCCTGGAACAGGCTACGGTAATGCTCAAGTGTTAACGAGCAAAGGATAATCTCTTATATGATAATTATGCAATTGTGAGTAGTTGTTACTTTCGTAAGTGGCTTCAACACAGTTTTTTTGGTAGGATTGTGACTCTTCGACAGAGTTAAATGCACTTTTCCCCCAAGAAACAGCAGAAACAATAAGACATTGAATGAAAGTGGAGGTGACACAGTTTTGGCTGCTTGACGCGGCTTTTTCATTGGGGTAGTGAATATCCACATTTTTTTTCTAATTGTAGTGGGAGCAGGTTAAAATTACCAACTTTCTGCTAACCACCATT